CGTTGTATTTCTCTAATTCTGTGTTTTATTGTATTATCAGCCTTAAATTCATCAATTGTTGTAGACATCAAATTTCAGGTAGCCCCGGAGAAAGCAATAACACGGAGAGGGGTCGGGCGAGCGTGTAAGCCATCCAACATTACTGCATAAGATCAACTGTCCTGTAAACAGCTCCCTCAAAATGTCCATTGATCTTCGCCCTGCAGCCTTAGACTGACTAACCAGACATCAAAGTGTGGTGTCGCTATCTACCATTACCTTAACATACTGCTAACCCATGACTTTTGACACCTCCTATGTAAGATTTTTAAAAGTTATTCTCAGAGATACAATCAGAGATACTTATAGGATAAGTGAATTTGTAAGCAACATTGGTCATATATTACGGATTTGGTTTTAATGTTCTTTTAATAGTGTTAAGAGTTTTAAACATTTTTGTAATAGATAATGAATCATGGGTGTTTATAACTACCTGTGGGCTTTATGTACCTGTGGTTTATCCAGGGTGTGTCAATAAAACCTCCCACATATTCTAGATTGAAAAGATAAAAAGTTATTTAGAAAATTATATTAAAATTGATAAAGGCATACAGTTTGTTTTTATTTACTTTTTGCAAAAGGTATTTTCCAAAATGATGGCCTCCATTCTCGATACACTGTTGTGACCGATTTCTAAAGTTTTCTGTGGCGCTATCTGCCATTACATTTACATACTGCTAAGCCCTAAATTTTGTCACGTCAGTGTATATCCTATGTAAGATTTTTAATTAAAATCTATAAAGGAATACAGCTTATTTTTAATTAATTCTTGAAAAAGAAATTTTCAAAACGGTGGCCTCTATTCTCCATATACAGTTATAGACGATTTCTGAAGTTTTTCATTACGCGATCCAATCAGTTCCAGTCGTATTTTTGTAATTGTTTTGCTTATAGCAGCCTTTAATTCTTCAATTGTTGTTGGCTGATGTTTGTAGCTTTCAACTTTCAGGTAACCCCCAGAGAAATTAGGTAACCGCTTCATTTTTAACAACTGCAGCCTATCAAGAAGATATATTTTGAATCCACATTTAAAGAAATCTGAATTTTTTTCTTCTTGAAAAAAAAGATTTGAAAAACAGTTTTCAAATTCTTTCTGAATGCCAGTTAAGGAATATTCTAGTGATAGAAACAGATGAAAATCTGTAAAAGCAAAACCAGGTAGATATGGAGGATGTAGGAACAAAACTTGCATCCAAACGATCTTATTTCTTCTTAGACAAGACGTTTCTTATTTGGTAAACTCACAGCCAATATGCTTCAAAATAAAGAGTATATTTTTATGTAAGACAACATGACTTCACATTCTTGCAATGATAACTATTTCCCCCAAAATTTTTCAAAAGCACTAAATGGAATAGACTTAGAGAGTCTATTCCATTTAGTGCTTTTGAAACATTTGGGGGGAAATAGTTAATAATAATAATCAAATAGAAAACTTTTGGTACATCATTAAAGATGGTTTTGTGAATGGAAAACAATATTCAAGATTTCTGGGAAGAAATAAAAGTTACTGCAAGTCGAAAGAGTTGCAAAATTAACAATGTCAATGGTTGAAAGACTGATGAAGGTTATAGAATGTCAAGTAACACATAGATATATGAGATGCCGCTTTATTCCCCTATATCTTTCATATATTTTGTATTTATTTATAAAGTGTATAATAATTGAAGACAATGCTGCTTCACATTTTGCTAAGCTGGTTATTATTCACTATGCAAAAAAATGTTTCAAAGATATCAAATTAACTGAATGGAAACCAACCTCTCTGGATATTAATAGAATCTAAAAGATAACTTATGCGGAACCATTAAAAGGGATCTATCTAGGGACACTTTCGGTCTAAATTTCTGGGATGAGGAGTTATCATTATTGTTGTAAACAAATAGATGGTTAAGAAATAACAAAACAAGAGGTTGCAGATAAATCATGTATCGAACAATAAATACAACAGAAGAGTATTACACGGCTTGGGAGTGTGTGTCGGTTGACCAACGTTCAATCTATACTATTGTTGATATTTAGTAGCCCGCCCACGAGGGTAGATGTGGCACAAGGCCGAGTTTAACATAGGTAATCCGGGCCCGTAGACTCGGCTAAAAAATCCCCGTAGAACCCGCATAAACGGGTTCGGGTCTGTCTACCTCCCCGGACGAAACTCTGTTCTTCGGCACAGCTTCGTCCGGGTTCCTCTCTGCCCAAAGACAGAGAGTTCGACAGCAGCTGCGAACTGTCACTGCCTCGGTAGAACAATCTATACTACTATTCCCCCAAAGCTTACTTTCCTACTAATTTTATAGTAAGTGGAAGAGTCCACAATAGACTCATTAGATGGAGGACACCACAACAATTATTTACATTATTTACTTTTAACCTCATCTTTCAACGTTTCGATCATTGTGCCCTCCATCCTTCATCAGGTGCTTGTCAATCAGTTAAATTTGAATTAGACCCTTTATGAAAT